TTTCATGCTGATTTTTGTGTCGTCTGCAAAGGATGATAGGAAGCTGTGACTTATATTTTTACCTAGACATTATCTGATATGAGAATAAGGAAAAGCAGTGGTGCAAGGACTGTATCATGAGGTACAGAGCTTTTAAATGTGCTTGGACTATTTTATTTGGTTGAATGTTACGCTTTGTGTTCTGTTCAACAGAAAATTGAGTATCCACCGTCCTACTTTACCAGTTATTCCCATTGACCTCATTTTGTGTGCTATCACTCCATGGTCACATTTATCGAATGCCTTTGTGAAGTCCGTGTATACCACATCTGCATTCTGTTTTTCTTTCAATGCCTCAGTGACTTTGTCGTAGTGGTCAAGTAGCTGTGAGAGGCATGATCTTCCCGTTCTAGATCCATGTTGGCCTGGATTGTGGAGGTCATTGGTCTCCATGAAACTAGTGACCTGACTCCTGATCACTCACTGAAATACTTTCATTATGTGGGACGTTAGTGCAACTGGTCTATAATTCTTTGCCTGTGCTTTGCTCCCTCCCTTGTGTAGAAGCGCTATGTCTGGCGATTTAAGTGCATCTGGTATTTCCCCGTGTCCAAGCTTTTCCTCCACACTATACTGAGTGCCTGTGCTAAGGGCACCTTGCATTTCTGTATAAATATTCAATTCCATGAGTCTGGACCCGGAGTCGAGTGCATGTTATCAATTTCTCTTTCAAAATCTGCCATGCTCATGTTAATATCGGTTACATTTACAAGTGGTTTGGTTATCATGCATAAAGAAGTTGTCCGGATTTTCTTTCATACTGTTTATTGGAGTGCGAAACATGTCCTAATACTGCTATTTTAGGATTTCACTAATTTCTTCGTCATCCTCAGTGTATGAACCTATACTCATACGAATAGTTTCAATACTGGCATTGGTTTTTGCTTTTGATTTTGCATATGTGAAGAAATATTTTGGGTGTTTCTTTATTTCTTGAATTGCTTTTTGTTCTAGTTGCCTTTCTTCAATCTGATATGAATGCTTCAGTCTCTGCACGATTTCTTAAATCTCTCTTTTTAAATTATTCCTTCTTTGTAGGGAAAGTCATGTCTGCTTTAGTATTTCCATTACTTTTTTTCCTTCTTTTGTAGTCTGCTCTCTCTTTCTGGCTTTTCTCAAAGGAACATGTTTCAGACAGACTTTATATGCTTTAGAAGTCAGTTTGTCTATTCCTTGTGTAGGATTTGTATTACTTAGAATAGTTTCCCATGGAATGTTTTGTAAATTCCGTTTATTTTCTCCCAGTCTATCCATTAATTATTAAAATTTAATTTACTGAATAACCCCCCTCTCGCTTGATCATTGTTTTAGGTCTAATCCGAGTATTGACGGTGGTTTGCACTTCAATGAGCTTGTGATCTGAGTGTGTGGTATCTGAGATCGTAATGTCCCTGATTATGTCTTCATTGTTTGTGAAGATCAACTCTAGAATATTTTTGTTCCTAGTTGGCTCTGATATCTGCTGGTTAAGTGAAAATTTGTCAAAGAATCTAAATAGTTCTCCAATTTGTGGTTGGTTATGTCCAGATAGATTTCCTGGTATATTATTATTGTCTGCTATTCTCCATCTTAGACTAGGCAGGTTGAAGTCACTTAGAAAGATAATATCAGGAATTGGGTTTGCCAAATTATCAAGGTTTTTCTCTATTTTGTTTATCTGTTCTGTGAATTCCTTAGTCATTGCATCTTGCAGTTTGTACATAAGAAAAATAAGTAAGTTTATTTTCTCTATTTTTACTCCCAGTACCTCGACCACCTCATTTGTAGAGTTAAGGAGCTCCGAGCATACAAGGTCTTCCTAATATTAAGATCCACTCCTCCATGTTGATACCTGGTTGATGGGGTTCTGGGAGTTCTTCTTCTCCCCAAGCCTGGCTCGACTTGTGAGAGTTCGGTCCACCAGGCTGTTGCTTAGAGCAGCCCACAGGCCCACATACCCACCACAGCCCGGTTGGTCCGGTACTCCTTACAGAAAACAATCTATTTTCCTCTTGAAGATGTCCACACTCTCCTTACAGAAAACAATCTAGTTTCCTCTTGAAGATGTCCACAGTTGTTCCGGCAATATTTCTTATGCTCGCTACATATCGTACAAATTTTCAATGTACAGTACATGCGATAACTAAAATATGCACCGAGTACTAAATACATGTTGGGAATGTTCTTGTATAAATACAACTATCACACAATAAATGTGGGATGAGCAAATCAGAAAGGGCAAAGAGTGACAACTTTTAAAAGTGTAGAGAGATGATTACTCTATACATCACAGGCCAAAACCCCATTGATGTACTCATTTGCTGTATTGCCTCTAAAATGCTAATTTTAATGCACTTTCACACTAACACAGGCCCTGCACATTCAAATCTTCATGCATTTAATTTCCTCTACTGTGCTTGAACACCTCAGTGCAATCGTAAAAGCCAATACAAACAGTCCCTGCTATGTCAACACAGCCAGTCCCTCAGAAATACAATTAAATCGTTCACAGGTTTAGTAAGTTTAGGCAGATTTTAAATTCCATTGGCAAAACAACCTGAGCACAAATTACCTTCAGAAGCCCCTCCCCCTGGCCAACATGGGTAAGCAAGTAATTATCAACAGAAGGCACCAAGCTAGCCAACACAAGCAAACAATTTTTTTAAATTGTTGTCTAATCACATCACTGATACTCTAAACAAACCTAGCAACAAGGTATAGCAAATAAAATTGTATTCTTATTTGGTGACAACCCTTTTATTTGCAACCTCCTTGATCCCTCTTGCAAGTAAGTTTCAATTAAAATACTAATGCCAATGTCTCTGGAGTAGATTTTGCAGCCTCCCTATACAACACTACTGCTACTATACAGTACAAAGCTGTAAAATTGTTTAATATCAAATGTACAAAAAAAATAACTAGAGGTTTGTGTGGTGATTATAAATGAGTAATATTAAAGAATGGATTTGTATACCAGTCTATTCTATGTATAGCAGTCTATCCTATGTATACCAATCTATAAATATCAATGTAGGGTATTATTTATGAAAACAAGTGTAGTGGTGCAATGTTATCAATGGTTGGAAAGTTTGTGGTTATACATGGAGGACTTGTTGTGTATGACATTAGCCAAAGTGGAAATGCACCTAATGCACTTTAACCCTAGTGTGGGTGTGTGACCTAGTGTGGGTGTGTTAACCCTAGTGCACCTAATGTGGGTGAACAGGCATAATACCATCCATCATAGGTGTAAACACCCCCCCCCCCCCACCCACCAAAACCATTCACCATTCCTGGGGCTATTTTTAACAACAAAATTCTAAATAAAACTCAAATTTTATGACTGCTGAACACCCCTCCCCCCTGCGGTCTCAATTCTGGGGGTGTCCCTCAGCACCTTCCATCAAGACACCCCTCCACCAAGAGGACACCCTCCCACTAGGAGGGAACCCCTCCACCATTAGGAGGATACCCTCTGCCACTAGGACACCCCCTCCACCAGGACATGCCTCAACCAAGACACACCTCCACCAAGAGGACACCCCTCCCACTAGGCAGGAGCACCTCCACCAGGAGGGAACCCCTCTACTACTAGGTGGATACCCTCTGCCACTAGGACACCTTCCACCAGGACACCCCTGCCACCAGGAGGACACCCTCCCACCAGGAGGACACCTTCCACCAGGACACCCTCCCACTAGGAGGATACTCTCTGCCACTAGGACACCTTTCACCAGGACACCCCCTCCACCAGGACACCCTCCCACCAGGAGGACACCCTCCCACCAGGAGGACACCTTCCACCAGGACACCCTCCCACCAGGAGGACACCCTCCCACTAGGAGGGAACCCCTCCACCAGGAGGGAACCCCTCCACCACTAGGAGGATACTCTCTGCCACTAGGACACCTTCCACCAGGACACCCCCTCCACCAGGAGGACACCCCCTCCACCAGGAGGACACCCCCTCCACCAGGAGGACACCCTCCCACCAGGAGGACACCTTCCACCAGGACACATCTCCACCAGGAGGACACCCTCCCACTAGGAGGAACCCCTCCACCAGGAGGGAACCCCTCCACCACTAGGAGGATACTCTCTGCCACTAGGACACCTTCCACCAGGACACCCTCCCACCAGGACACCCTCCCACTAGGAGGATACCCCCTCCACCAGGAGGACACCCTCCCACCAGGAGGACACCCTCCCACCAGGACACATCTCTACCAGGAAGACACCCCTCCCACTAGGAGGGAACCCCTCCACCACTAGGAGGGAACCCCTCCACCACTAGGAGGATACTCTCTACCACTAGGACACCTTCCACCAGGACACCCTCCCACCAGGACACCTTCCACCAGGACACACCTCCACCAGGAGGACACCTTCCACTAGGACATGCCTCCACCAAGACACCCCTCCACCAGGAAGACACCCCTCCACCAGGAGGGAACCCCTCCACCAGGAGGACACCCACCACCAGGAGGACACCCTCCCACCAGGAGGACACCCTCCCACCAGGAGGACACCCACCACCAGGAGGACACCCACCACCAGGAGGACACCCTCCACCAGGAGGACACCCACCCACCCACACCACCACCGCCCCATTCCTACGGCTCCTATATTCCCCCCCCCCCCCCACTAAGGGGGGCGCGGCCCCACAGGAGGGAGGCCTACCCATAAGAGGGGCAGAGGATGAAGGGGGGCGGGCGGGAAGAGATAATCAAAAGCTGGAGTGTCCCCGGGGCCGTGGTGGCACCAGGGGGGAGGGGCCGGCCGCCAGTGCCAGCCGCTACACGCCCACTCCCACGCCTGGCTCCCGCACGCCACCACCACCATCACGCCCGCACGCCCGCCGCCACCACCCCCACAACACTTGCCTTAACATATAGGTGGGTTAAAGGAGGCGAGCAAGGGAGCAACGGTATCCAATATGGCCGCTTAAGCAGACGATAAACAGAGCGAGATGTTGTCTTTACCTAGTAATAACAATCTGTGCGTCGCTCGGTACACCTGCTTGTCTTGCTGGATTTGCTTGTTTATCTTCTTGTTTGCTTCTTTCCGCCTTTTGTTTTCCTCGGCGTCACCTTTCGCCCCAGCGCTACCAAAACAACCCATGACATTAGTACACTCTTGGAAGAAAGCTCCTAGCCGCAGGCAGGCGCGGACGTCCCGCGGCCCTGTCTCGTTTCCGCACCAGTTGCCTATTTTTGCGGCTGATCTCGCGTCACTAGGTCATGGGATCCAGTCTACATGTCACTGAGTGAAGTGGCAGCCACCTGGGCCATGGATGCCGGGCGATGGTCCAGATATCACTCGATCTCAGTCGTTCACCATCATCGCCAATCATCTGCACAACCTTCACCAGTGAATCAGACGCGACTTCTCCCGCGGCTCCCGCAGTCTCCAACAAGCCCCCTCACACCACCCGCTCCCGGACCTCCCATATCTTCCCTCTCAACACCATAAACCCCATCACCATTCTTAGCCTTTTATTTCCCCGATTCTTCATCTTGTAGGTGGGGAGGTATTTGTTGGTATTATGCCGGCCGTGATGCGGCCGTTACTTGTAAAAGTGGTTATTGATATTAAGGAATCATACTGGCTGGTCGGGAGATAGCATATTGGAACGGTGTGCGCGAACAGTGTTGCACCGGATACAAGTCACATCGTACACACGACGATTCGCCAACATATTTTTTGGGGGAACCCAAGCTAACTTAACCTGGCTCAACTTAACCTAACTTAACCCAAATGAGCGAAATACAGTTAAACCTAAGCTAATACATCCTAGCACAGCAATATACACGGTTTTAACAAACAGAAAACGAGCTTCGCTGAATCGTCTCGTGTTCGAAACGACCATACCCCGTTGCACCAACGAGAAGGGTGGGACCTGCTCAGACTCCCGTAGGATCTGGGAGTGTTAACACCTGCTCTCGCTACCAATACTTTTACTCTCCACATATACACTCTTTACTCACCAACTGATAATGCAGCAAGACATAGAAAACTATCTTTAATGTTAAGAACTGGCAATATTATATAGAAGACAACCCTGAGAAGAAGTTCATCTCCCCCGAGCATCTCAACAACCAGAGATGATCCCGTACGACAACTTTCAACTCTTAGGTGTCCCGTATAGTGAGCACCAATGTATTATTTCGTGAAAATTTAGCATAATGTAAAAAAAAAAATTTTTATATGTGATGTCAAAACAATGAAAACATACTGTTGCTTTCGAGTGTGGGGTGGTCGTACGTCAGCCAGCGTGAGTGAGGACAGGTACTGGGCAATCAGTGAAACAAGACACGGATCAGATAAGTCCTAGTATGCACTCTTCATACCATTTGTGATAACTATCTGAACCCATTCACTGAAGGAGTCGCATTGCTATCATTATATATTAAAAACGTAATTTCATTCATTTGTAAATGCTTTATATTTATTAATTACATATCAAAAAAGAGTCCCGTAGCGTAGTGGTCTACGTCTATTTAAAACCGAGGGGTTTAGTATATTATCGGGTAGGACAGAAACGGCTGGACGCGTTTATTTCACCTTTTGTACCAAGCTCTCTTTCTACCTTTTGTACCAAGCTCTCTTTCTACCTTTTGTGCCAAGCTCTCTTTCTACCTTTTGTACCAAGCTCTCTTTCTACCTTTTGTACCAAGCTCTCTTTATACCTCTTAATCCTTTTGTACCAAGCTCTCTTTATACCTGGCTATGTAATAGAACAGAGTAATAAAATACCTGGCTATGTAATAGAATAATAAAGTAATAAAACACTTTGTTATGGCTCCCATAATTAGCCTAGTGGCAGTAGAAAACGAAGCTGAGAAAGTGTACCCTCGTGGTGATGAGGTGGGGACAGCGTCGTGAATTTTATGGTCGGTTCACAGATCTTGGAATACCTCACAAAGTTGAACAAGAGGATTGAAGCTCTAGAAACGTTAGCTGTGGCAAACAGATGGGTGTAGTGGGGAATGAAACGGTGGGGAAGAAAATAAGGAAGAGGATAGCGTATTACGGATGGAAGAGTCTCTGGGAAAATGAACTATCCACTAGTGATGGCAGTGTTCAACCCAGTGTGCTGAAAAATGTTGACGGAGAAGTTCAGGAAAAATGGTTAACAAAAATAGAATGTGAAGACATAGTTAAGAATAGAGTTACCTTTGAATGTAGTAGGAAGTGTTGAGCAAGAAGAAATGTCAAAATGTTGGGAGCCTAGTAACCAAGGCGAAATTGATTCTCAATGAAATAGCAAACCGCAGCACAGTTAAGAGTCTGAGAACACTGAGGAAAACATTAATGTATCTACGTTGAATTCCTCCCATGTTGGTGTTAATTGTTTATTTGGCAATGAGATAAATTCATGAAGGACATCCTGCTTTGTAATATAAGGATCTTATTATGCTTTCACATGCATTATTCATTTCTTCCCGTGTTTTGAAGTGAGATGATTAGTTCATTAGCTCCCTCGCCTCTCATTAATCTAATCGCCGAAGCTTCATTTATATCTGAAATTCAGTCCTCGATACTCTGTAAATTCAATCATATCTTCATTATCTCAGTAATAGTTCTGGGCCATAAGAATAATGAACAAATTCACAACTCTACCACAACACGGATAAGACTCGTCGGGGGCTTTTATCCGTGTCGTGGTACAGTTAACTAGAGCCCATCTGGGAACATCCAGCACATATAATAGGTTCGAATCCTCATCAAAGCCCTTGTGAATTTGTTCATTGATATATCACGTTATTGTGATTTCTGTGTGCACGAGAATAATCTGGGAATACTCTCACGACTTTATTTTGTATCTTCAACTTGTTTAGTCTGCCTTTACCAAAACAAGAAATGACAGGGGCACCATAATCAATAATAAATCTTACAATATGCAATGTGATTACCATTAGAATGTGAAATGTAAAATATGATTAATAATTGTGTACTGAATTAATTTGTGAGCCTCTTGAGGGACCTTATATAGACGAGGTGGAAATAGCCTAAGTTACTCTGTCCTTTTGTGATGTATTTCCTTTTCTCAACAAACTTACTTGAACTCCTCCAGGAGGCAGTCGAGCTGCATCTGCGATGTCGGTCCAGTATGGTAGGGGTTAACCCTCCGTGGCCACGCCGAGGGCTGCCGAAGTAATAATGCGAAGCACCCCAGCGAAGGCGTGATGCATATGTCTGGTACCGTTGTTGCCAGAAGTTGTATCTTCTGATTTTTGTCTGTAGGGATAACGTTCCTATTAACAATTATCCCTACAGACAAAAATCAGAAGATACAATTGACCATTTGCTATAAAACCAAAAAAAACGGCCAACCTACTCATGAAAAACTCTCCAGACACAAAGCAGAACGCCTTAAAAGAGACCAACGTTGTCTATGCCTTCAAATGTTCACTTGGGGACTGTAAGCCCCAAAGAACTCGGTATATAGGCAAGACAACAACATCTCTTTCCAGGCGATTAACAATGCATAAGCAACAGGGCTCCATTAAGGAACATATAATCTCTTCCCACAACCAGACCATTACCAGAGAAGTCTTAACAAACAACACAGAAATCATCGATAGATACAGCGATAGCAGGCGGCTTGACATCTGCGAGGCACTACACATCAAAAAGTCAACACCAGCAATCAACAGCAATTAATGCACAGCTATATTCTACCCACTTCAAGACTCCGTACCAATATAGAAGCATAAAGAGGAAGTATAGGTCAATAGGTCCTTTGCAGTTACTTCCATTCTTCCCTTTCACTTATCCAATTTATACCCATTGAACCGCGTTCTGTCTTGTGTTGGTCAAAAGTTTGTTCACCTCATCCAAAACTGTTTCAACATATCACCTCACCCAAATGTGAGTATATAAGACAAGCTGTTTAGCAATAGAATAGAAAAGACCAGGAATGCTGATATTCCTGGACCTCGAAAAAGCCTTTGAATTGGCTAGCGCCCCAGCTATTCTCTGCTGCCTCGTTGACAAAGAGGTCAGAGGCAACCTGCTCTCCTGGACCAAAAACTGTCTCATAAACAGAGAAGCAAGAGTAAAATTACATGGCACAGTCTCTGAGTACAAAAGACATGAAAATGGTACACCGCAAGGAGGTATTCTCAGCCCTCTTCTCTTCAACTGTTTAATGGAAAGAATAATGAGGTTGAAACTTCCACATCACTGCAGGCTGCTAAACTACGCGGACGACTTTGTCTATCATCATAAAAGGAAGGTATGCGGCGCGTCTTGCACTCAAATGCTTAGACTGCATCAGTAAAGAGGCAAAACAGATTGGGATCAAACTCAACCCCTCAAAGTCAAAGGCCATGCCCATAAAAATAGCAAAGCCCAACATCCAACTCACAGTACAGGGTCAACCAATTGAATGGGTCGACACCTATCAGTATCTAGGAATCATCCTGGACACACACATGAATTTTAATGCTGAGGTCACTTACTTGAGAGAGCGAACTGCGGCCCGGACGGCATTCCTCAGGTCGCTAACCTCCCTTTCTGGAGGAGCCAATCTGCAAGTCCTTCGCACATACTATATACAGGCAGTCAGATCAGTGATCGATTATGCCGTACCTGCACTCACAATTCTATCACTCCAACAGTGGAAAAAACTTGAAGTTGCCCAAAACAATGCTATGAGAGCCGCACTGGGAGCCCCCATGTGGACCAGGCTTGAAACTCTTAGACTGGAGACGGGTTTGCCCTCTCTACAAGAAAGAATATCACAAAGAACAGCTACAATTATCAGTAAGATAATTATTTCTTCTGATCCAATCCCAGTACGGCAGGCCTTGGTGGTTGGACTAGGCCAAAACAATGGAAACTCTTGGGCTGCTAAAGACTGAAAAGCCTCAGGTGTGGATGGATTTCAATACAAAATCGTAAAGGAACTGGCAAATGCACTATGCATGCTACTGAAACTCCTTTTCAGAAAATTCCTGGACCAAGGGATAGTTCCCCCTGGATTGGAAATATGCAAATGTTACCCCTATTTTCAAAAAAAAGCAGAAAGAGCTCGGCAGTAAACTACCGGCCGATCAGCTTGACATCACACATCTGCAAGCTCATGGAGAGAATCCTAAGGGAAGGAATCATACAACATCTCACAGAGAACAATCTTGTAAAATCAACGCAACATGGGTTTGTTCAAAATATATCCTGCCTCACTAACCTGCTCACATTTCTGGAAGCGGTAACCGACTATTCAGATAAAGGACTTCAGGTAGATGTAGCTAACATGGACTTTGCTAAAGCTTTTGACAAGGTACAACATGAGGGACTGGCAAGGAAATTACAGGCACATAGAATAAATAGGAGAATACTGGAATGGATAAAACAATGGTTAAAACGTAGAAAACAAAGGGTCGTGCTAAATGGGAT